ACTCACTTACTCCAGTGTTGTTTAGAAATGTGGAAAATTGTAATTTCTGACAAAAGTGCATTATTTATATGCAAATAATTCACCTTTGTGGGCGGATGGGGTACATCGGTTTATTCTAGAAGGAAAAGTGTGTTACATAAAAAAAAAAATTCAAATGTCACCTTTGGAAGAATTGACAGTTAAGGTGATTCAGAAGGCATTTTAGTCGTGTAACAAAAAAAAAAAAAAAACCCTTTTCCTGCCTTCTAACCACCTGCATTATATCAAGCTGAAGCGATTTTTGAAACTGAGAGGGCAACATTAAATGTTGGACTTTTACATAACAGCACCTGTAAGAACCCTGTCAATCTCTGAACAATGAATATGGTAATCAGTGCTTTGTCAGCTGTCAGTACTTACATACTGCTGTGTGATTTGTTGGTGAATATCCATATCTCCCAATCCAAGACTCATCTCTCCAGTCTCAGCAATAACAACACAGTAGGTCGCTGTTTTTTGTTCTTCCAATCTGGCAACCCCACTGGTGTTCTTGACGAATTAGAAAGAAAGAAACAACATCATTTGTACCTGATGTATTTAAAAGTACCGCAATCCGTATCTTTTCACGTACCATATGTTTACAGTGGTTAAATACTGCATCACCATTCGAATCATCCCCAACGGCAGAAATAAGCAGAGGTCTGTGGCCTAATCGACTCAGACAGTCTTAAAGGAAAAGACCAAAAAATAAAAAATAAAAATAAGGAGTGAGACCATCAAGTGTGATCTCATCATTGCATCACAGAACCAGAAGGAGAACTCACCTGCAACGTTCCGTCCTACACCACCAAACGACTGAGAGACGCTTCCTTGGTTGGTCTGTCCAAACTGGAAGAGAGAAAAGAGTGTCTCTCTGTATAGATTTTGAGCTGAATGTGTAGGATATGATATAGTGTGGGGACTTTGCATATACAGCGCATTGGAAATTACGTGTGTTTTTGTTTTCGCCTTGGCAATAAAATCGACATTTATTCCACCAACCACAACCTGTAAACACAAGCAAAGCAGTGTCATTATTAAAAGTCACACACTCGCTGGTTTCGGAAAGTGTTTGTGTCTACATACAACATTGGCCTCTGTTTTTGATGACTGTTTTTTTCCGGAATGGTTTTGGTCTCTCAACTTTTTCTCTCGCGCCTGTTGAGAGAGGGCACACGCCACCTGACTTCCAACTCTGGCATTGTTATGAATAAGAGCGATGTCTTTGAAATGATCTGTTAAGGACTGTGACGTAGTCACAGCTTTTCAGCAGTAAACAGTGCTTACATTTATGGTCTACAAAAAAAAGATGCTATCGCAAGTAAATCACTCTTCCTTTTCCGTTTGCAGAAAACCAGATATGATTATGTTTTCTGTGGTGAGCACACAGAGAAGTTGAACATTTTTCACACAAAAAAGGATACTGGCTTGCAGGGACTTTCCTTCAGTCATTTCACTGACCCTCTGAAGAATGAATGGCGTCACATCTCTTCCTGTGATACCTTTAGCACTAGATAATTAAAAGAAAAGATGGAAGATTTCAGCGAAATAAAAAAAAGGCACCAACATAACTAGCTTTAAAATTACACTGAGTTTTAAAAACAGCGTGTACTTGGCCTCAGTCACTGCAGCGTGAATGGCTTCTTCAATCTGCTGGCCTGCAGCTGCATGCTCCTCCGGGATGGGCACTGCTATGAGAACGCCGCTTTGAAGACCCAGCGACAAAACACTGCCTGAAAAACACAGAACATGTACTATGAGGAAAAAAGTGTGCTGAGTATATAAAAAATTTGCATCTGGACTAATTAAACACTAAATCAGGATATGGAATTCTGATACCAATGAGTTTTGCAGCTTCCGTAGGATTCGCAACTTGGCACGAGGAAGTAAATTCACTTCGAGGAGAGAAGAAGGCAGGGAAACTTTTCGACTTTCCATAAGTGGCTACACAGACACCTTGTGTCTCCTGTAATTTAAAAATATATAACACACGGACATTATTCGTGTCTATTTGGCTGCATGAAATCCAGGCTAAAAAAAAAAATCAGGAAGACAAAATCAGTTTATTCTCTTTAAACTTACCAGGAATTCGAGGGTACGTCCAATGTCAAGAATCGATTTCACCCCAGCGGAGATCACAGCGATGGGAGTTCTGCCCAGTTCTGTCAGATCGGCACTGATGTCCAGAGCTTAAGGAAACGCATTAAAGTGTGCGTTAAATATGATTTGGTTTATATGTAATGGTGAACTTGATATTCTGATTCTGTTTTTTTTCTTCTTCCAAATGAACAATTCTGCTCATCTTTATGTTTTCATCTGCATTCAGTAACCTTTCCTGCGGCCCCACTAAACACACATGCACATGTCCAAACCATAATTAATTTTTTGAATTTAATTTTTTATTATTTCAAATGTATTCAATTTTATTTTTGTCTGTGCTTTTTGTTTATAAACTTATTTTGATCACATTCACTATTTCTTTTCAACTCAAGCTGAGCTATTGTCACCAAATTTAATCTTTTTTGTTTGTTCAATCTCCATAATTAGAAATCAGACATTCGAGTCCATACAGTCTGTTCTGAAAATGCATCCTAAATCGTCCTAAAGAGTCATAGAAGATTTAAAGAAATGCTTTACTGTTCTCTCCATATCTGTGAACTCCTCCAATGCCACCAGTGACGAAGACAGGGATGCCCGCTCGATGGGCTGCTATCATAGTCGCTGACACTGTGGTTCCTCCAGACAGACCCTGAGGAGTAGAAGAAACGGCACAAGCTCATTGCTATATAGAATAAAAAAGACTTTTTTTTTTTAATTTCGGGTTTACACGGTTAATGAAGACAAAAGACACTCATGTAAGAAAATGTCGTTAAGTACAAAAATAAAGATAATAAATAAACCAAAGATTAACCAACGTGTCTCACTTTGCTGATGACGTATGGAAGATCACGACGAGACACCTTCAGGGAGCCCTTGCTCTTGGCCAGGTGGTCCAGCTCCTCTGGTGACAGACCAACATGGACGTTGCCCTCGATCACTCCAACCGTGGCTGGAGTGGCTCCTTCTGCTCGGACAATTGACTCCACCTGTTTTGCTGTACTGAAGAAGAAGAAAAAAATTGACACTGAATGTCAGCGACATATTATAGGCTGGTCTATATGATCAGTAATATACTGTAGGTGTAGAGTACCTCAGGTTCTTAGGGTAGGGCATGCCATGGGTAATTATGGTGCTTTCAAGAGCAACCACTGGCTTTTTCTCTGCCAGTGCTTGTAAAACTGAAGGATGGACTTTGAAGTGACCGTCTAGGCGTAGAAAATCCACAATCATTTGTCATCCCAGCAAGCATTGGTATGTAAAACAAGCACAAAAACAGAAAACCTGCTGTTTACTCTGAGGTAAGCACAACAATAAGTGACCCAAATACTGTGGAGCAGAGATATATTATTAAATATGTCGAAAAAAGATCTGATGAGACGATGCATTTACCACTTCTGCACCATGTGCTCTGACATGTTGAGAATCCTCTCCTGAGGTGTATTGCCACGGCCGTCTTCAACAGATGGGTCATTCTGAATCTGAAGACAACGCAACATGAGCAACACCAAACATCATCACTTTGAGTAGATCAATTGCAGTATCTTTGACCGTTTGGGTCCAAAACACCGTGAGGGTCTTATTTACTTTGCCTCCCCCCCCATTTCCCCTCAACTGTCCACATTATGAGGGTTTGCAGATCACATGTTCAGCTAGGACACACTTAGAATAAGAATATATATGTATACGTTTACATTAAACTCTTGTCAAATGGTCAAATCAACCCAATTCCGAAAGCAAGATTCATGCAGAAATTCAAAGCTCGTTTACTGTTGTGAGTGCTTTGTTTTTGTTTCTCACGACAAGTGAGACCCTCTAAAAATCAACAATTCAAATCCATAAGGTGTTTTTAAAGAAAGATGTTTTTGAAACTAATGGCAAATAAACACAAACACCATCAAATTAGTATCAACAATTATTGAAAATTGAAATGCAACGACAGTAAATCCTGGAATCCGGAAACATTAAGAAAGGCCAACTCTGGAAATACCATGTACTGTACTCAATAAACAAAGTTCCCCCTGGTGACTGTTATCTCACCAGACAGCATTAAAAAAAAAAGACTCAAGTGAACTGCAGCATTAGCTGCGTAAAGACAGTCAACCTTAGAATAATCATCATCCAAAAAGTCAGATCTTTCCGCTTACCTCCTCCAGTGGAACAAATGCTGAAAACCTTGCCCAGGAGGATGAACTTTAACCATATCTTTGTTTACACAGCAACGTCATCCTAACCACATAACTCTGCTGCGTAAGCACTGGGGTAAAACTTCTGGTGAAAATGAGGGGGTTCTCAACATGAATCAAGTTACATAACACAACGTCAGCATTTTCTATTTATCAAATCCCCACACCTTTCTGTAGGAAGAATCTATTAACGTTTGATTTCCATGCTCTCAACAAAAACAAAAGAATAAATAAATAAACAAAAAAAAATTCTACAATTAGGCTTAAGCTACTGCTTTTACTATCTCCTCAAGGCAATTAATTTGCCACGACGACACATAAAAAATAACTCCATTACGGTATTAACAGGCATCATATCTGTAGCATATCCCCCCAAAAGGTCTTACCCATGAACTGGCGACTTTATTAAAAAAAAAAAAAAAATTACTAAAACTAAATGTACGAGCTGTTTTAGAACACACCATTTTACATTACATTACATTTCCACACATCACCATTGCACAACGATAAATTTCGTAAGCTAATGGAAATAAAATAACGGCCATTCAGCTGTAATTAGTAGACCACAACTGTAGCTCAAAACAAATAACATCTTAATGACACACATTAACAAACCTTGTGCTTATTCGGAGAGTTGTTAATACCTTGAACAATTATTTTATGCACTGCTTTTTACCGTCTCTTTTCTCCGTCTAACTCTGCATCACATATTTACAGAAGTGCAACTCCCAAAATATGGCAAAACCTTTCAAAGTAAAAGGTAACTGACCGAGCCAGAGAAAAAAAAGCGCCGAAAACTGAAGTTTCCAGAAGATTTTATTTGGCCGTCCTTAACTGACCCTCCCAGAAACACCATAAGAAGGAAAGTGAAAGTGAACTACTTATCAGTGACAGCACAGCACACCACTGCACACGACGACGTGACCTAAGTGGTGACTTAGCTACGGTGTACAATATACATTTTTACAAACAATTAATGTAGAACGAAGTAACCACATATATCAGAATGTGTACCAAAAAAAATAAATAAAATAAAATAAGGAAAAACAACGTTCCCGCTCCGACTGGTCGCTTAGCTGCGGCTAATCAGCGCTGTGACTATCAAAGAAAACATTTTCGGGAGTTTTGTTACAAAAAAAACCAAACAGGAACCTGTCAAAATAAAGGCCTCAAGAAAATTAATTTCATGGCTTTTCGGGGCTTGCTCAACACACCTCAGACAGCAAGGATTTGAACCTTTGATAGCAAGTCTGAAAATTCCTAGCACAATTGTTCAAACTGTCACTTAGTTAAAAAGTAAAAAAAAAAAAAAAAAAATCTCAACCCTGCAACAAGGTTTAGGTTCCTCAGCTCACAACTCTGAGCTTTCCACAAATTGATCTTCAAACCAACGTGGATGCCTCAACTGATGAGCACGAAACGCTTCCACAGCATCTCGTAGAGCTCTCCCCGAGGGACACCGGTGATACTCATTCTCCGGCAGCCCCTCAATGTGATTCATTCTGCCCGGCTCCTGTTTTTCTGTGTCCAGGATTCTGAAAAAAAGTTCCTCAAACTGTTTCATGAGTTTGTACCGGACTGTGATGTTGAACGGTACGGGGACATCATTTTCTGAACATATCCCGTCAAAATAAGCCACTATGTATTTCTCAAAAGATGTCGATCGGATGAACTGTGGCACCAGGAGGCAGAGGGCCGGGGTGAGCATATCACCAACGGGTGAATGGACGTCCTCCTTCAGGAGAACATGCTTGTCACCGCACATTGCTCTCCATTTGGCTTGCACTCCCGGTGAGCAAAGTACAAGTATTTTATCCGAAGATCTTTCTATTTGCTCTCTGTGCCAGTCCAACCACTGAACACTCCCAAATACTCCCAGTCTGGCAGAGTCCAGCAGGTCCAGGATCACCTCTGTTCCACATTTGGTTGCCAGGAAGCCACAAAACTTGAGAACAACGTTTTTGTATAACGGGTGGTCGAGTGAGTAAATAACGAGAACTCTTTTCCTCAGTTTCACTTGAAGAGAGTGTGGTTGCTCTTTGGCAGTGGATGGGAATGTGTTCACAGAAACTAGGGAGAGAAGATAACGACCGATGAATACAGGATGATTTGAGAAGAGAATGACATACTTGTGTACAGTCATTAAAGGGGCAAACCTTTAAGAGATGCTCGACATATCAAATATAAAAGACCGCCGGTAATCAGCAGAGCCAGCACCAGCTTAATGATTAAGGTACGTGGTTGGTAAACTAAAATCACAAGAGAGATAGAGAGGGTGTTAAGTGTTAAAGGTTTAACGTATAGGATTGAACTCCATAAAAGAGAGGGATGAGATTAGTATTTTGTATTTGTATAGAAATGTCTTCAATGGGCCACAAAACAAAACACTGTTTCACGTTCTTTTAATAAAATGTTTAACGTATAGGATTGAACTCCATAACTATTTAGCGTCAGTTCCATCCGGTTGACCATTGACCGTTGACCGTTGATCATTCGTTCAAATGATGACAGTCACTGCTTTTTACTCACGGATGCAGCCGTCGACGGTTTCCTCGTGGATCTTGCAGTTGTTTTTGCATCGCGCAAAAAAGGGTTGAATCTTTGAAGAAAGGTTTGAGAACAGTTGGTGTCGGATTGGCACAAGCAACAAAAAACAAGAACAAAAACAAAACAACGTTAACAAAGAAGAGAACAGGCTTTCAAATAAATGACACTCACCGTTAGAGTCATTTCACACTGGCGGAGCCACCACAAATCAAACTCAAATGTCACATTCAGTGATGTGTCACTTAGCTGTTTGTTAAAAAAAACAAAAAGGCCTTTAGTGTCAGTGTCGTCAACCTCAGCCTCAGGTAAACTTAACAAAGATGCGTTGAACGTAACAGTTGTCACAAGAAATGGTTGTTGTTATACCCTGCTAATGTTCCTTGAATGTTGTCTGCCGTGCGTTTGAATGGCGACTCGATAGACGTCTGAATACGGCGCTGTTTGAAATCTCACAAAAACGCACAACTTTTTATTTTCAACAAACGTCATCGTTTTCACCCCGGGCGTCCAGAGACTGCCTAGAATAACAGGTGTGCAGAGTACAACGAGTAGGTGCTGCAGGATTTGTTGAACTTCTGTCATAACTTAACATAATTAAAAATATATATATATATAATACCATTCTCAACACATATTTGGGCTCTTTTGATGGTGCTACGTTGGTCATTGCATCCTGCAAATAAACAAAAAGCTGATAATAATAGAGCGTTGAGATCTATAGAAAGAGAAATGCAAATGATGTCGAAATGATGTCGCTTCATCCTTTACATTCATTTTGTCGTAACGTTTATCATCCTTTTGAGGGTCGGGGGGGGGAAACTGAGGTCAATTCACCAGTACATTGTTGGTCACTTAAATAAATGGGCTGTCGGAGTTTCACAAATAGGTAAGCCTGAAGATTTTATACAAAAAAGACCCAGCAATCAAACCAGCAAGCTGGCCATCCTTTTTTTTTTTTGCAGTGTTAACGTCTGCAGTTTTTTTTAGGGAACAACAGCAGATAGTGACATCACTGAACTTGGTAAATTAAGTATATAAAAATATATATATTATATATATATTTATATATAAGTTGATTAGAAGAAACTCACCTGGGATCGTAACTCTGTTCTCTATCCTCTTGTTTCTATCAGCCGGTTCTGGTAAATTAATAAGTGACACCAGGTATGTATGTTTGGGCTGTACTGCAACTTCGTTCAGGTAAAAGGTCCACTGATGAAGAAAAGCATGTAGGCGTTTAATACATTTAAACCACATCAATATTAGTTGATATTCTGATGAAGTTGTCGTCATCTTACCGCCTCGTTTCGGTTCAGTTGCTGGCTGATATTGTAATAAAATTGCACACAAATACTTTTATTTGTTTTTTCTTCCCGAATACTTATGTGTGTCCCGTGTAGCTCCAATGTACTGGCTGTGGACAGAGAAGAGTGCAGATATAAAAATGTGTATTTTTATTTTATTACATTTTTGTTTAGAGAGATTTTTTATAATCAACACAATATAATATTATAATGTTATAATCACGGACACGCAGATTTAAGCAGCGGTGTCACTTACCATCTGACTTTAACTGCCACAGCACTTTCATAACTGGCACAATCTCAGTATTGTCCACAGCGACACCCACACGCTCAGAGACCCTTTCAGGGCCAGTGGGAGCAAGTTCTTTAATCATAAAATCATCTGAGCAGTTCTCTAACATTTGGAAAAGGAGCAAATATTAGTGTAAAAAAAAAGAGAAGAATGAGTGAAAATGGGTATCTTTTTTTAAGGTCAGCCTATGGTGTCCCTTCCATAACCACAGCAACTTACTTGGCACTTACTTGGAAATAGCTAAATGTGAAAAAAAAAAAGAATCGACGCTGTGATAAACAAATGAATACTTACTACAAACACCCCTGAATGATACACACGTAAAAAGGTTATTTTTTTTAAAAAAAGAAAAAAAAGTAATGCCCTACATTGCTGGAGATACATAATAAAGAATCATTATCATCAATGTACTGCTTGCAGTAAAATAAACTAGCAGTAAAAGTACTGCAAACGGATATTGGATTTGAAAATAAATAATTCCACAATCACTTTGCCCAAATTTGCCCAGTCAATATTTTAAACCGTGTCATGACCAGCGGTAGCAATGCTGTTTTTATTTGCTTGAAATATATTGAGAAAAACATGTTAAATACTAGTTTTGAGTGATTGCAACAGGGATAGTGCTTCCTTCAGATTCAGATACTATAAATATATACAGCAGGCTAGTACTAGGTAGGAAGGTAGTTTGAGGATATATTTTGGTATTTTTAATACCAACAATTATGAAACACTTACTTATTTTGCAGCCCAAAAGGCCCTGGAAGAAATAAAAAAACATTTAAATGAAATGTAAAAAATTTATACTCGCCCAGATATCTGTATGCATTCTTACCATTTGACTGCAGTTCACAGGTTGATTCAGAATCCGCAGAGAAGAGAACACTGTGGCTCCAGTAGTCAGAAACAAACTGAAATAAAGGATGTGCATCATGCTGGTAAGACTGCTCCTCAAAACAGATAGAATAAAGAAAGACCCACGGTTACAAATCAAATACTCGGAATCAAGTCCAGTATAAAAACTGTTAAAAGCATTTCCATAAAAGTCAAAATCAAATACTCGGAATCAAGTCCAGGATAAAAACTGTTAAAAGCATTTCCATAATCAAACACTGAACAACTGAACCAACAGTCTAGACTGACATATGAGTAATAACTGCCACCGACACCTGCATATAAAGGAAGGAAGGAAGGAAGGAAGCCCTTATCAATTGTGGTAAATCACTTTTACGAGGACCTGCATCTTACTTTCAGAGTAACTGCGTAGTTTATTGTTCCTCCAGTGTTACATTGGAAAGGATTTGAAAAAAAATAATATCCCAAATGTAATCTGATTAATGTCGTTCAATCGTGGATGAGAACTTGACTCAATTGTAGTATCAAGTTATTGTTAAAAAAAAAAAAAGAGACAAGATTTAGTTTAATTCTGTCTTTTGGACCAAATGAAGGCTCTAATGCTAATGAAAACAACAACTGCAGTGGAAAAAACAACTTTTCTTTTGCGTATTGTACTAGGGGGCCAAGACAACTATAATTGTCTACTGGCTCGGCGTACATGTATTTGGTCACTAGGTGGCAGCATTTCAGCATCTACTAAAACAAGGTTTGTAGAGGATCTGTGCAATTGTGTTTACAATAAACTGCGGTATCTGATATTAAGATATATATATATATATATATATACACACACACATATATATATACATATATATAAACTGGAAGGAAATGTAAGGTACATGAATAGTTTTTAAAAATTCAAAAAAACATTATATTTATATGTATATATATATATATTGAAATTCCTTCTTAAGATAATTGAATACCTCTTAAACAGTACTTTAAAACCCAAGCATCATCACCCAAATAAGGACAGATCTAATATCTCATAACAAAAATCAAAGACGAGCTGTTTGATCATAAATCCTTTTAGCTTTTCACCTCTACCAAAGCTCTTACTCTGGCTAATACTACGTAGCAATGACAAACTGTTGGCCATGGCCGTGTGTTGATTCTCTTCACTTTGCGTTGAGGTCCATGTGTAATACCGGACTTTGATGTCGACCGTATTGTGTTACATACAACAGGACCATGCCACTTAAACATTAGCAGGCTACACTGTACCGTAGCGGCCGTATTTAGCCTCTCCTCTAGGCGCTGATGTGAGGTGCCAAAGGAGACATGACGAAGCTGCAAGAAGATAGAGGTTAAGTTCGGTATACGTTACTAGAGTGTATGCGAGAAGCACAACTCAAAGTAATAAGACAACCGAATGAATGGTGAAGAAGAACGGAAGTACAGACACAATCTAAAACAGGCAAAAAGAAACTAAGCTGTACAATATAAAAGAAAAGGTGTGGCAGAAAAGTACCGACAACGATAATGAGGCAGGATAGTTCGGCCGGCTGACGGGGGGGTGTATGACGTCTGACCTTGCAGTGCAATCGCATGAAGCAAATGGGTCATGGGTTGAGGGCAAATCAAAAAAAGGATCATGAATTGTTCAGTAGCCATTGTCAGGTGGACGAGGGGCTATTTTAGGGAGCCATTCACATGAGGCTTTAAATATATAAATCGTTGACTAATAACAACAGAGTGCTGCCTCAGACTGCGCCAACTGTCGCTGCTGTCCTCACTCTCCCTTCCACTTACATTTGAGGTAAGTTTGATACAACACTGAGAATATTGAAACGGCAAATGCTTCAGGAAACATTAATCAAGCTGTGGGTACCTGTAGATCAGTAGTTGCTGTAAATTTATTGGTCATTTCTTAGGATTTGGTAGGATTTGAAACCTCCTTTTAAATGTGACTTTAAAAGATTTCAACCTCTAGGACTTTTTTTTTTGACTCCTCAATCTTCTTGACAAGTGTTTGTTTCTTCAAGACAGAAACTCTAAATGATAGCCTTATCAACACCGGCTTTAAAAGCATTAACAGCTAATAACACCGCGCCGGATCCAACACGCAGGCTAAACAGCCGGACAATACGTGATGATAGTCAATTTGTAGGTAATGACAAGCTCTTGGATTGGAGGCAACGCCGGAAGCTAAAGAAGCTTTTTTCGTTTAATTTTGATCAAAGTTAAATGTATATCAGTGTTGAGTAAGAAATATCTTAAATCATCTTACTGTCCTCTTGTGACACCATATGTTACGCCATACCTTTATTAATAAATCAAATACTAAGTCGTATATAGATAGTGTTACAGATGACGGCGTGGACGACAGATGACTGTAAGCGCCGGGCTATTGAATTAAAACAAAAACTCTGATGGTAATCCTTAAGGTTCAGGATTAAAGTACTACACGGTGTCTTCGTATTCTCACAGTCCCTACAGACTCTGCGTTGTTCCTTTGGTGGCTATCAGACCTCGGTGAGGATCAGTGTACCCTGGCATTGTTACAAATATGGCAGATGCTATTGACCCATTGAAGCATGAAAGAAATGTGTCCAAATAAAGCCAAGCAGCAGACTGCAGCAGTAATCCCTCAGTAACAATAGCAGGGATCACCAGGTCCCGGAACAATAGTGTACCAGTTAGTCCCAGTAGAAATTTGGCCCAAGATATAAATATTTTAACTGTTTTTTTTTTTTTTTATTACAGTTGTAGTTAAATCCGAGAAGGTGGAGTTTGACACGCTGTGCACGGAAATAATCAAATCTGTTTTTATATATATATATATGTATATTTTCTTTCCTTGTTCCGAAGGCAACAAAGTGCAACCATGTCTGAAGGGTGAGTCTTGAGCTTTTTTTTTTTTCTTCAGGAAATGTCCTGCTGTCTTTTTTTCTGTTTATGATCTCTGCTCTACTCAAAAACAATCAACAGTTTTATTTGTCTTAACCTAAATAATATTAAAAGTAAATGTCCTTTTTTTTTTCCATGACAAATGATGACTAAGACCGGTAAGTCTCTTACAATTATTTTTTTTTTTTTTTTTTTTTCAATTTATTTTATTTGATATAAGTGGTTCCCAAACTGGGGCATTGTGTTTTTGCGGGGTGCACAGTAGGTCAAATTAATAGGCTGAATCTTTTTTTTTTTTCAATGAGAATTTTTTTTTTTTTTTTTTTTTTTTAGGAATTTGTGTTTCAAATCAAAACCGGTGAATGTTTCAACAATTCATGGGGTCACCAATAGTTTAATCTATGTAAGGGGTGGTGGGGACTACAGAAAGTTGATTCTGTAATTCTGTGATTCTGTAAAACCATGTATTTAAATTATGAATCATCCTTCCCTTTATTGCAGAAAAAACCGAAATACTCAGCAACTCGCCGTCTTCACCTGAAGGTGAGCGTTAATGTCGTGTTTTTAACAATGTAATGCAAATTAAGAAACTAAAAAAAAAAAAAAAAACTTTTCATTCCTCCAGCCTGCTATGCTGAGGAAAGCTGCTTCGATGATGGCGGCTGGCCGAAAAAGAAGAAAAGAAAGTGGAGCGAGAACGCATTGTGGATGAGAAACACCCTCCACTGAAGCTCTCCAGTCTGTCACTGCAGGAGCTGCAGGTAGTGACCAAACCAATGTGTTTCATTTACCTTGATCTGCCTTGTACTACCTGGGGTCAGAAGGTAGAGGGAGCCAATCCCAGCTGACACTGAATGAAAGGCAGTTGTTACAATATTCCCCATTATTTTACACACAATCCTTGTTTTTTTTTCTTCTTCATTTTCAGGAGCTTTGTAAAGAACTACATAGTAAGATGGACGTCACAGATGAAGCACGTTATGACATCGAGGTCAAAGTATCCAGAAATGAAAAGGAGGTAAAGTGACACATTCACTGACCTGTTTGAATGCTGTTGTCCACTTGCTCTAACTGCAACATTCGCGGCCCAGATTGAGTATCTCAGTCAGAAGATCGTTGAGCTGAAGGGTGTGAAGCGGCCCAACTTGAAGAGGGTGAAGAAAACGACTGATGACATGCTGAACGCATACAGCGACACTTCGAAACTCAAGAAGGCTGACTTCAAGGCCAAGCTTAGGACAGTGAAGAAAGAGGAAGACAGGGTAAAAGTTACATTCAGGACAAAAGGTACCGTAAACAAAAAAACAAACGATTTGAATCGACTGAATTGTTACTTTGCAGAGGGAAGAGGTGACTGACTGGCGTAAAAATGTGGAGGCCATGTCCGGAATGGAGGGAAGAAAGAAGCTTTTTAATGCAGGACAATGAGAAGATGCCTGCGTCAAAGAAGACTTGGTTTGCCACATGTTTGAATTCATAACTCACCACAGAGTCCGCACTGAACTCTAGCATAAAACAAGTTGGAAAGAAAAATATTTCAACATTCTTACTCGCTTTTTCCATCAGTGTAGTTTCCAGTGTATTTTGATCTAATTTTAATATCGAAAAGAGCAACAACTAAACTGCTAACACAAACCATAGACAAACTTCA